AACAGGATTTTGCAACAGTCAGAATGTTTTTTTTTTCCGGAGACATCAATTGGATACATTTTTCATCGTTGTACCTTTTAATAAAAACTTTTGTAAACAATAAAACTCGAATTGAAACGCAGAGATCGATTTAATTTGAATTGAAACGCACATATCGATTTGGTTGTCATTGTTTCTTTTTCTTTTTTTTTTTTTGCCTTTGTCGAATAACATTCCAACAGGAATATTACATGTACGTAAATATCATTATTTGGAAATAGACCATAGGCCATATAGACAATTACAAGTCGATATCAACGTCTTATTAAAATTACTGTTTATATTATATTTACGAACAAGATCGTACATGCAATCTTAGAGTTAAATTGTCAAAAAAAAAAACGAGATGACCAAATATGTATAACACAGTAAAGTCTCAAGAGAAATAAAAATAAATTATACACAGCAAACACAACTTCAAAGCACTTAGATAAGAAAGATACAAGAAAAATATTCGAGTTATATTATACTGTTTAATATTATGACTGTTATTTACGATTAGTCATACACATTGTAAGTTCGTGAAAAATATTTGTTTAGAAATCTTATTTTTTGTCGCTTTAATATTATTTGACAGCAGTCAAGTCGGATAATAAAAACAAGTGACTTTCTAATTTGTACCGTTTGATTTAATTTGGATGTTTATACAACTGTACTTAAGTTCATAATAATACTTAGCTGGATATCATAAAATGTCAAACTTGATGGTTAGGTTACATAATATTAATATATTATATCTATTATTACGTCACTCACACCAAAACTCCTGTTACTTCAAAATACATATAAATTAATTACTAATCAAATTGTAATTAATTTAAGATAAAACTTTATCAGTTTTTGTTTAGGATTAAACAATCGTTAAGATTCGTTTCGAATTGGATGTCGAAAAGGTTAAAGCAATTGATTTTCAAATATATTTTGTTTGTGTGCAAGAGGACAGTGGTGTCGACCTCAGTTTTTATAGGTAAGGCAAAGTACAAACATTAATTCCCACCCACCCAGATACACCTAACTAAATCGCGTATTCACATCGGTTTTTGGTATTCGGGAATATTTATATTTGATTTTTCCTTATATGAATTATTTGTATACATCACAATCATATCCTACCCCCATCCATAACCACCCTAACCACCTAAGACCCACACACCCACTTTCAAAGGTGTCGGCGGTTGCCACATGCCCACATAGGTATGAACATTGGTTTCCGCGACACTGCAAGAGGACATAAAATATTTATTTATTTCCTATGCATCTCTGTATGTAACTCAAGGTGAAATGTGAAAAATAATTATTTTTAAATATTTTCCAATCATACACCTGATAAGCCATCGTGATAGTAGCTTACACAATTATTGTTCTACTAACATGTTATTGTTACAATATTTACTGATGGGAACTTCACCAAACTCTGCCAATTTTTTTTTTGTTTCGTTCGTACTAATATAATCTTGTGTTTTACAATCGGCCATCAACAACTATTAAACATTTTCTAGGTAGTTTTAGTGTTACGATGATGCACGACAGACAGACTGCAGTTCGATGGACATTTTTATCCATTTCTTATTATGAAAGTATCGACTGAAAATCGAAATCGTTTAATCTTCGTGTTTTTCCACAGTCACCCTCAGTATGATTTATATATAAAAAAAAATCATATTTGGGCAGTTATCTTGGTAATATTATTTATCAACACCACTTGAAGCCCGTCAACAATCACGCGAATAAATTCGAGTTCCATACAAAGCAATGACCAAGCGTGACCATTACCGATTTGGAATATTCCCGATTGCTGCCCACACATTATCTGTCAATATTTGATGCGAACTAATAATAATTTATAAGTGAATTTTGCGTTCGTAATAACGTATAACATATAACTAGGTTCATAACATTAACTATATACAAGTCATAAAATTGTAATTGAAAAAAAAAACGATTCGAAAAAAGTAATAACATAATAATAAGTAGGTATTATAGGTATTTGAATAATTGTTACGAATATTTGTTTGGATTAAACTCATATTTTAACACGTTACACGTCAAGCTGATCTTCCACGCGCTTCCCATGAAAATTAACGTAAATGCCACCCTTGGATTCACTCTTTCTTAAATTCTGTCAAATGTGAACCACACAGACTTTTTAAAYGTCAATACAGGTCTAATTATAGGTAAATATCCATGTGACAACCATTTTAATGATCAAATTTTGTGTTTCCAAAAAATCTTTGAGCGAACCCCAATTAAAAATGCAAATTAATAAAAAAAAAATTACTCCGAAGTGCACATAATCCGTGGGTATATGTRTAGGATTACCAATGTACCAAATTTTGGAATCGCGAGAGCGATGGACTTGGCTAAGGATCGCTACACACACACACAACACTATGCGTAGTATATAATATTGTGTGAATTATTAAAACTTTTATAATATGAGTCGAACAGGAACGCTGTAACGACGGGGCTCGTATAGGATGTGATTAAAATAATAATAATAATAATATATAAATACTTTCCGGCTTCGGGGATTAAAGCGTCCGTCCGTCCGAAAGGACTGCGCACGGTCGCGTGCGTCGTTATATGCAGTGGCCGTTTTTAAGCATCGCATTCGTGCGTGTAAATAACGTCCGTCGCTCTCGGATTTACTGCAAATTGAAAGGGAGCGAATGTGTACTTCGGCGAAAAAAAAACAAAAACAAAAAACAGCGCGTCTGGGAAAGAAATGGGGTCGAGGGTGGTTAGGGTGGTGAAAAAAACAACAAAAATGCCAATTTCACCATTGACTCGACATCGTATTTCCACGGTCCACCCGCGCTCGTCGCCGACCCGCTTATATGTCTTTAGGGAAAATACGATCGGCTCGATATATTATATAGAGTAATACACTCGTTCGATTGTTCGCTCGCACACACCAGCAAAACCCGCGCAGCCGGAAACTAATAAAGTGCCCTTTGTTAGGATCTACTTTCGCGTGTACATATTACATACGTATACGCCGACCAGATCAGTGTTGGGCTCACGCGTGTGGGTTAGGCGGTATGTGGGTCGATGGGTAGGTGGCGGGGTGGTGATCAAATCCGACGGTGTTAAACGTATGCACGCGTTCACGGTACATCAGCCATGAGGGTTTCGTTTGCTTGCCGCCGTCGTTCTGTTTTTCGATCGGTCCGTTTCGGGACTGACGTCAATAATTTCCACCGTGTACAATATAATACATAAATAGGTTTACACATAAACACAACAATGCGAACAAAATTATATATAAACACACACTCGCGAGCAATCCTAAGTTCGAACACGTATCTTGGTCCATATATAGTGGGTGGTAGCTGCAGCAGCAGTGGTAAAGAAGTATTATATGGAACGTATATGACGCGACGGCTTTGGTAGTGGTATTATACACGCGATATACATAACAAAAAAAAAAAAACCACTTTACTTTACTCGGAATAGCGGAAAGAATACCGAAGCGATATTATTATTATTATTATTATTATTATATATTATCGTAGGAGTGTACATATATAAACTGCTTTTTTTTAAATTTCACAGCAAATATCTTCTTCGCCCCTCCCGCGAGTCTATATACGTAAATTCTCTCTCTCTATATATATGTATATATATATACTACACGCCTCTGGCCGGAGAGCGACACCCTATTAGATTTTCGCTCGAAAAACTCGTTTATATGAAAATGTTGAATATATCATTATATTGTCTCTCGTTTTTATATAGCCTCTCAATATACGCCACCGTAGCGTGTAATATATTATATATATTTTATGGTTTGCCATGTACTCGCGCCAATTGTCTATAAATGTTAAGGGCTCTATAATAATATTATAGGCACAGAGCGAAATTGATTGCATCACGCAGCAGAATCATATTATTATCGACGTAGTAGGACGTTTATGAAAAGAAAAAAGAAACATTATTTCTATATTATTTTTTGTACGTATGGAATCAACTCAACATTGGACAAATATAGCTTAAGACTAGGAAGTTATAGTCTGAGCTTTAAGTCTTAAGAGTGTTGGATCGACCTACAAAATACGGGGTGTAACGATAAGACTGACAAATAATCTAATCTTATTTGTTTATATATTAGCATGTATAGATAATTATTACGCTACTCGTATTCGTATAGTATAATATTTTTTGTTTCCGAAAATTAAAAAAAATTAAACCCGATATACAACTATGTTCTTCAAATTCAAAATAAACAATTTGAAAATCAGRTTTTTAGAAAATTGTACACTAAAAACATTAATTTAAGTTAATATATGTAGATTACGTTTGAATTTTTTTTTGAAATTTCATCATTTAGTTAAGCAAATTTTAAAATTTAAATTCAGAAACTATAAATTTTTTTCAAATATTTTAAGTAAATCTATATGTAATTTTTTAAAAACTTATCATTTTTAAAACTAATGATATTTATTTGAAAAGAATTTCACAAAACAAACTATTTGACATAAATAAAAGCCATAATTTACAAATTGGCTAAATTTGAAAATTCATAAAAAAATACAATTTTAACTAAAAATGAAAAGATCTTGTAATACATGTGTAGCGAACGAGTCAATTAATTTATATAAAAAAAAATAACAATGAATATTTGATTAATCGAGTCTTCCTGTTACACTCTATATAATATGAGAGCATATTTAATGTTACAATTATTATCAAGCTGATTGTAATATTCATAAATTGTTATATTATACCAATATTTGCTGATTTAAACTGAATATCATAAAATTATTATGATGTGATAATACATTTTATCATTCAAAAAGATAATATTATAATTGGCATTCAACTATTACACTCGTGGTTCCAAAGGTTCTTTGCATCCCCGAGATCTGTTATTATATCATAATTTCTAGAATATGCAATGATACACTTATGACTGTAGTTATTATTATTTTTATTTCATAATTTTGGTTTTTTCATTTCAGATTTTTTATCCACCGCCAGTTGGCTTGTTGAGATGACTTCTTGCAGGCGAAGACTGCAATACTGAACGTCATCCGAGACACACTTAAGCAGACGCGATCACCTCCTWAGGATATATAATATTATYCTTCACCCCCTTTCACCGTAGAAAACGTTTGATAAAAACACAGAGATAAGCACATAGACAAACGGAATTCGGTCGTCAACGCTCGTCAAAATGATATTCACCGAGATGAAAACGTTTACGCTGTGCTTCGTCTTACTGCTGGCGAAAAGTGAGTCACACATAAAATTAATATTATATTCTATAAGTAGGTACTAGGTGGGAGTTGAACTTAGCTTAAAAAAAATCGAACGGAACTGAACTCGAACAAAAAGTTTAAAATATAACAATTAATCCCCCCCCAAAAAAAAAAAAAAAAAAATGGGAAAAAATTGGGTAAAAAATGGTGATAATTCCGCTAAATACAAAACGTCATAAATGTTAGTATAACTTCATAAGGCACAAGTGAGCTTATACCACAAGTCCACAAACAAACAAAAAAAAAAAAAAAAAACAATCAATACACGTCATACGTGTCGAACAAAAAATGTTTTATTTTATACTTTTGTTTGATATGAAACTAAAAATGTTTGATTTGTTATTCAATTCAAAACTTTGGTGAAAATTTAGGTTGCTATTAAATACATTGTTTGGTTCAAGTTCTACGTCATCACACTAAATTTTTCTGTTTGACAAACKATTAAAAAGTTCGGATTGAGTCATATTTTTGAGTCTGATTCACTTTTGTTTCGTAGCTTACCTTTAAAAATTATAAAAATAATTTAAAGTGTTATACGTGAGTATAGATGCGCGTGTTCAGGGTTGTGACACGATAGTAGTTTTGGTCGATCGACTCGTCTTAGTGGCGACGTTTTAGCGTAATATAATAGTTATTTATTGAAGACGTATAAATATTTTATTGCTATTTTTACGGACGTGACTGTCAGAGCTTATCATAATTATTTAGACACACAGAAAGGACAGTATTTATTTTATAGTCATTTGACGATTCGAGTTTATAAAAATTCGAATATATAACGCAGGTAGTTGAAATTAGGTCGAGTGGACTTGAATTTAATAATATTGCTTCCGAGAAAACTACTCGAAAAGTATAAATGATATAAAAGCTAAAACTTTTGTTTTGCGTGTCCCTTAAATATTGAAAACAGAAATACATATAAATTACATAGTAGCCAGTAGGTACATTATATTATTAAGTTTTTGAAAATTATAAAACATTTTTTTAATTGGTTATTTTTTTCTTTGACTATGTGAATTAAAATCTAATAATTTATTTATTRTTGTTATGTTTTTCGTTGCACAAAACAGAGACGTACTAAAACTAATTGTATACCTACTTTAAAATGTATTACTATTTTTTATTCATGATRCATGATTGTTAATATTAAAATGTGTTATGATCAATTTCGAATATTGGGTTATTGTTTAAAACAAATATTCATAATTAAATAATTAAATAATTTCGGTATTATTTTTWAGGATTTTCAAGATGTTTAAACGTTTAGCAAAAATATCATTAAATAATATTATTATTTTTTATCAAAAATCCTTTTTAAAATTAGAGTTAYCTTATTGGAGCACTATGTTTAAAATATTACTCAAAAAAATATAATACTTAAGATTTGATTATTAACATTCTAATAATAATTATAAAACTTATGCATCCCTAATAATATTAAATACTTTAATATTTATTATACGTTTGGCTATAAGATCAGAATATATAACGGATTTAAGCCATAAAAAATAATGAATTTTGTTAATATGTTAAGTACACTTAAATTTCTATGTTTACAAAAGGTCTTAAATTATTATTTATCATTTTATTGTTTATTTTATAAACACGGATTTTTATATATATATATTATTAATCAGTTGGTAGCTATTTGTTTGAGCTACTTGCTCACAAGAGTCATCGTCACTGGCTTATACTTTCTTATTAAAATTATATTTTTATATTTTGCAATGGCGATACATACTTCATTATTCAGTTACGCATACTTRMATATTGTACAATAATTGCTTACGTATCATTTTTTCTTATAATGACAATGATTAAACTATTTTGATTAATCGGTGTACATTATAATGATTAAGGCTGAATCAACCAGTTAAAATACCATTCAAATTGAACCTATCGTTAGCCAATCAAATTTCAGGCCCCTGAACTTATTTTTTCGCTGGCTCTAATAAAACAAAAACTTCCAATAAAATATAATCCATTTTAAGCGACACGAGTTTTTCATGTATGATTTTTACTTTATATATTTTATAYCATAAAATATTATTCAATATAATAAAAAATTTCAATTTTTCAAAAATTACGAATTAATTTCAACGGGCCTTTCATATATTATATTCTAGTCCTTGTGTTCCAGGACCAACAGCTGGTTGAATTTGTTTTCGACTAAAACCATTTTCCCTTCCCTTTTCAGCTGATTCACTTTTCGACCAAAACAAAAATTTAAATTAATAAAATAATGATATACAATTTTTGTCAATAACTATTAAGTTTTATATTAATATAAAAACAATGTCAATATTATATAGGCAATTTAAAATTTAAAATAATTTTATATATTTCATTTTATGCCACTTATAATTTTAATAATTTTTTATAGGTATAACATAAAGTAAATAATATTTGTCATTATTTAACAACAATTTTATACCTATTAGCTTATATTTTTTAAATGTACCTATATTAAAATTATACATACTATTGACAAACATTTTATGTTATTATTTTATTTGTTTGTGTTAATATGTCACAATATGTATAAAACTATTATAAAAATATAAAAGAATAGTAATATACAGAATCTATAGATATTATTATATTTTAAATAATTTTCTACATTTAATTTTAAATTTATTATATACATTTTTGTTTTGGTCGAAAAGTGAATCGGCCGAAAAGGAAAGGGCACGTTTTTGGTCGAAAACGGCCATGTCCCCAACAACTGCTTCCTTTTCATGGACGCCTAATCTATCATAATAGTKTMTACACGAATTATTTATCATTTTATTGTTTATTTAAGTTTATTTAAGAAGCACGGATTTATATATATACGTATATATTTTATCAATTTAATCTTATAAGTATCTGTTCATGTAAGTTGCATTACCTTAACCTTTCACGTTCAAATATTTTTTAATTTGGCAATATCGCCGGTACCTACCTAATTGCTCAGTTACATGTACTCACACTATCATAATTTATTACTTACGTATCATTTTTCTCATCACGACAATGATTAATCTCTTTTGATTCCTACATCATAATTATTAGTGCTGAACCAACGAATTAAAAAAACGTTTCAAGTAATAATTACACCGTAATGGTTTCCAAACAAATTAACACAATACTCACGTCTGTCAAAATCATATTTTCGAGCGCAAATTAACATAAAATTCAGCACTTTTTTCTTTTTATATTTTACTCGCAATAAATTATTATTTAACATCTCACATACTGCAGTACTACAAAATTAGAGTTGCACATTTTTGGTAGACATTTTCAATCATAAAAATGTTCAACGAGTTTCATCAGTTATCTAAGTAGCTTAACTGACGGATGTCTTGCGTTTAAGTTGTATAACGGTGGTATATTACTATGGGTACCTATTTAATGGCATAGTGTGTGATTGATATGTAAACCACACACACCGTAGTTACGTTACGCCGTTCTAAACTTTTGAGTGATTCCTATATAGTAGCGAGGAATTACAATATAGATCTTAAGCGAAACTATCAACAGTTTATGTTCACGCCAGTGCACCTATTTATTACGGATAAGTATAATAATAATGTACAAAGCGAATGTCTTTTTTGGATGTGAATCCTCGCCTGTCGTCGTCGATCAAAACGACGTCATTTGCAATGGCAATTACGCCGAAACGTTCACCAACACATCATCGTTATGTACGTGACTATTTCATTAAAATGTTACGCTCAATAAATACTAATACCTATAGGTAGTAAGATTGATCACTCCGTCGATTATACGCGTTCTCTCATCGTCTCTCGTCCAATATGGCTTGGTCTTGGTGAGTGCACTTAGGATTTTATTTGTATAGTTTTTTTTTTTTTTTTGTATTCTGTTGCACAAACGCACACTTATATGGTAATCGAGAAAAAATAACGTACAAGAGGCGTATAACTTTATGACGACAGCTACCTCTTACCTCTTAGATCAGGTTCTTATTATAGAGGAACGTAGTCGAAGGTGGGTGTTCAATCAATAGAGTCAAAACGTCGCAATTATTCAGAAAACCACGGATGTGAGTACTTAAATATTGTTTGGATCCCCTCTGATTAAAATATAAAACCCACTCTCTTGCTAATGTCGATGTCACCTACTACTAAATTAAAGTATACGCGATGACACCTAATCAAGTTTTCGATCGTAATTTTTTTTTTTTTTTTCAAAGTTTATTAAGGCTTCAACAACACAGGTTTTAAGCCTACTTTAGTTAAAATTTATACAAGAAAAAGAAAAAGAAAGGAAAATATATATATATATATATATGTATACATTAAATTTTGGAATACATTTTACTACATTATTATAGTTACTATTTACAATGGGTATTTAGTGTTTATATTATGGAAAAATGTACTGATTKCARCTGTGTTTTCATCTTTGAAGGCTTGATAGAGTGATGCTGGATTTTGGAGTATCTTGCGCGCTTCAGTGAATTTGGGGCAGATGACTACGATATGTTCAATTGATAGAGTTACGTTGCAAGTGATCGTAATTTTATTTGTTGCCAGTTTGTAGATTTTTCAATATTGCATCCTAAGATTAATATAAAAAAATCGACTGCTTCTACTTTAAGTAACATAAAAATATTAGCAGCATAATATAACATATAATATAAATGCATATCTGGATTAGACCGAGGATAAATAATTAATTATATTTTAGACACAAACACTTGTTCAAATATAAACATTAAACTTGAATTATAAGTTAGTCATAATTTATCTTCAAAATTCAGAGTACAGTAAAATATAATTAAATAAACGTTGACAATATGCGTTCTCTTGTCTCCCGTTCAATATAAGCCATAGAACTAATAAAATATATCTTTGGTTTTTAAAATTTGAATATATGAAACGAAATTCTAAGCTGTTTTACTACGTCTGAAAATAGCATAACATATCTTCGTCAAAAAAAACGCAGCTTTGAATTTGCTATTTGATTAA